TCCCCTTCTCCCCATGGCAGAACGACAGCCTAAAGCCTGTAGGGAGTAGCGCGGGGGTCGGTGGAGTTATAGGACAGGAAGAAGGTGAGCATAGGAATGAGAGCACGACAGTGGATGAAGAGGTTTATCTGAGGCATGTGGTGCTGCAGTGGGGCACCAATTTTGTGCCTAATCTCTAGACTCGAGGCACTGTGACACAGAGCATCCCTCAATCCGTCACCTTGTTCTCTGCCTGACCCCCCAGACTCCCCCCATCCTCCCTTCCTCCCTGGACACCAGCCTGTTTCTTATCTCTGCACTCGAGGCACAGAAGGTCATCCTGAGCATTAACCCTTCACCCTGTCATCACACCCAGAGCTCACCTATCCCCCCATTCCGAGCCCACCTTCCCCCCCAAACCAGAGCTCACCTGCCCCAGCCTGTGTGAGGGCATATCCACAGGAGGTTTCATCCCGAGAAGGTGTCTTCAGCAGAGTTTGGAAGACACCAAGTCTACTGCCGCTCTACTGCCACATCACATCACCGTTTGTGGCTCCCACAGGGCCATGAACTTTAGCTCGATAGCCTTAGCTCAGTTGCTCCTTTGTCTCTGGTTTGCATACTACGGGTAGTGCTTCAACGTTTTAAGTGTGCACGTAGCGAATCAGTGGCTAAAGCAGTCCGGCGTGGCCGGCTCTGACATCACCATGGACGATGAGGAGGTTGCCCGCCGCGGAGCAGAGCGGCGCAACCTCCGTCGCCGTCATAGACAGGCCCATCATGCACCACATTTCCGAGCAACTGCAGGGGCCGATGTCGCGGTTTGTGGATCGTTACAATGTGCCCATCGGCCTCTGCGTGTTGATCCCGGTGAAGTATTTCGCGAGCGCCATGACCTATACGGACATGGCGATCGACTTTGGCGTGCCTAAGAGCGTCCTGCATCTCATTGTCAACGCGTTTCTGCTGCATTTTCCTCGCCGGTTCAAGAAGAATTGGGTTCGTTTCCCCACCCCCGCGACGAAATGCCCTACTCTCCCACTCCCCATCCCGCCTTACAAATTTGAGCCCCCCTTTCCCCCTTCACTGCGCTCAACCTTGGCCCCTCGGCCTAGCGGTGATTCGTCCCTCCTCGCCCCCCTGCCTGACATGCCTCTGGAGCTGTTCAAGGGCGGCATCAGGTTGCTGCTGCTGCTGCGCATGTGCCCCAGGCCTGCCCCCCCCCCCACCCCCCCCTCGTTTCCCACCCTGCCCCCTCTCCCCTGCACTGCCCGCTGCTCTCTGTGCGTGGCTGAAGCTCCGTGTATATCGCTACCCCCATCTGCTCGCGGCCTGCTGCCTCTCATGTGATGTTGCATGGACTGTCACTGCCATTGCCCTCTCTGGGGCTTCTGCCCCCACTGCTGTCAACTCCTCCCCCTCCGTATCAGTGCTGTGGCAGAGGGGACAGGTGGCAGTGGAAGAGGAGAGCAGGCATGGGATTGTGTGGGAGTGAGGTCATCAAAGGGGCAGATGGTGTGGTAATCCCTGACAACAAGCACTGCCCCCTGCAACCCCATGCAACCCGCATAGCGACCCTGCTATGATGCTTCATGCCAGCAAATGCCCACATCTAATCACTTGGCTTTTCCTCACATCACACCGCTGCTGCTGTGCTTGCCTTTCCTTCGAATAATGAAGCTTAAGGTGCCAAGGTTTTGGACCAAGACTGAGATTGGGCATGGGAGCAGGGAAGAAAACGCTGCCGGCGATAGTGACCTGGACCATGAAGTCCAAAAGAACCACCATTGTTAAATAGCTAAGGAGCTAGCTAGGCATAGGAAATATCGAGAGGTTTTAGCTAGGGAGAGAAATTGACGAGAGAAAAGAGACTGGACTAGGAAGAGAGAGAGATACAAGAGGGAGGGTTATACCCTCTACAATAGGATCCACAATCTGTAGAAGACCTACCAAGCCTTCATAAACTTATAAATAAAATATAATAATTTTAACACACCCCCTAGGCTTGGTAGTCGCAAGCCCACCCAACACGCAACACCCCCAAACCCGTGCACCCCCATGCCCTGCAGCAGGTGTGGCTTCGACCCCTCGTGCGAAGCGGCGACAGCGGCGGTGGGTGGCAGCAACGGTGTCAGCGGCGGCTTCTGCGACGACGACAGCGGCGGCGGCGGCGGCAGCGGCTTCGACGACGGGGGCGGCGACTGCGAAGCTCGCGGCACCCGGCGTCATGGCATAGCCCGGCGACGACCGGGTATTAAGTCAGCAGCTGCGGCTGGAGTAAGGGGAGATGCAAGGGGGGGGGGGGAGGGGGGTGGTGTGCAGCAAGGCGCCCGCGCTGGAGCACTGGCTGGCGTGCTGGCGTCATGGCTGCCGCCTAAACCGGTGCGCGGCCTGCTGACGCCTGTGCGCTGACGCATCGACGCCGCCACGGCGGCACGACGAAGCTGCCACGGCGTGGCATCGATGTCACGGCAGCATGTCGAGGCTGCCACGGCAGCACGACGACACCGCCACGGCATGGCGTCGACGCCACGGCAGCGCGTCGATGCTGCCACGGCAGCACAACGAAGCCGCCATGGCAGCACGACATGGTCGCCACGGCGGCGCGAAAGTGAGGGGAGGGAGGTGAGTACGCTGCGGAAGCGTGATGAGACGGCCCAGCAGGACGGACCTCCTGCTCTGAAACCATGTTGAAGAGCTAAGGAACTAGCTAGACATAGGAAATATCGAGAGGTTTAAGCTAGGGAGAGAAATTGACGAGAGAAAAGAGATTGGACTAGGAAGAGAGAGAGATACAAGAGGGAGGGTAATACCCTCCACAGTAGGATCCACAAGATGTAGAAGACCTACCGAGCCTACATAATTAAATAAAGATATAATCTTAACAACCAAGTCATCGGGGGGGGGGGGGGTGGGGGTGGGAGGGAGGAGGTGGGGGACAGGGGCAGATAAATGGGGAGAGAGGGGGCAGAGGAAAGAGGCCGGGAAAGTAGATAAACCAGAGGAACGGGAGAGGATGGCAAAGCCATACAAAACCCGGAATATCATAACATGCATTTAAAAAAAAATCCTGGACATTTAGAAATTGTACCAACAAAACCGTGTTTATTTCTTGGATCAATAAATTTTCCTGAAATCTAGGGGCCTCAGAAGGCTGTGTGGCCTGTTAGAAGACTAGGCTAGGAGGAATGGAAGGAAGCCATGGAAATAGCGTAAGGTTTTAGAACTAGGAGCTAGGAAGGAAATTTGACGAGAGAAAAGAGGGCCAACTAGAAAGAGAGAGGGATACAAGGAGGGGATTGTACCCTCTACAGTAGAGTTCGATAACCTACCAAGCCTACACAAATATATATATATAAATATATAATTTGACACACCCCCTAGGCTTGGTAGTCACAAACCCACCCCACATGCAACACCTCTAAGCCTAGCACCCCCATACCCTGCAGCAGAGGTGACTGCTGTGAAGGAGGGCGCTAGGCCTTCTTGAGCTGCGGCGGGGCGGAGCCAGCTGGCGTGGCGAGCTAGGACCGACGCTGCGAGCTGGGTCCGCTGGGACCGACGCGGCGAGCTGGGTCCGACGTAGCGAGCTGGGTCCGACGCGGCGAGCAGGGTCTGACACGAAGAGATGGGGAGGTGCGGTGAGCTGGAGTGCGGGCTTGCTGCCTGGTGCCTAAACCAGTGCGCGGCCCACTGCCGCCCGTGCGCTGACGCGACGACGGCGACACGGCGGCACGCCGAAGCCCTGAGGCATGGCGACGTGACGGGGCCGGCGCGGAGTGACGGGGTCGCGGCGTGACGGGGCCAGCACCAGCACGGCGTGACGGGGCCAGCTCGGCGTCACGGGACCAGCGCGGCGTGACGGGGCCAGCGCGGAGTGACGGGGCCAGCGCGGCGTGACGGGGCCAGCGCGGAGGGACGGGGCCGGTGCAGAGTGACGGGGCCGGCGCGGCGTGATGGGGCCAGCGCGGCATGACGGGGCCAGCGCGGAGTGACGGGGCCACAGCAGCTTGACGCAGCCGCCATGGCAGTGCGAGAGAGAGAGAGAGAGAGAGAGAGAGAGAGAGAGAGAGAGAGAGAGAGAGAGAGAGAGAGAGAGAGAGAGAGAGAGAGAGAGAGTGAGAGAGAGAGAGAGAGAGTGTGAGAGAGAGAGAGAGAGAGTGAGAGAGAGAGAGAGAGAGAGAGAGAGAGAGAGAGAGAGAGAGAGAGAGAGAGAGAGAGAGAGAGAGAGAGAGAGAGAGAGAGAGAGAGAAGAGGCGGCGGAAGCGTGAGGAGCAGGCCCACAAGGAACGAACTGCTCTAATACCATGTTAGAAGACTAGGTTAGGAGGAATGGAAGGAAGCCATGGAAACGGCGTAAGGTTTTAGAAATAGGAGCTAGGAAGGAAATTTGACGAGAGAAAAGAAGGCCAACTAGAAAGAGAGAGGGGTACAAGTAGGGGATTGTACCCTCTACAGAAGATTTCGATAACCTACCAAGCCTACACAAATATATATATATAATTTGGCTTGGCCCACCCACAAGCTCTGGTGCCCTCTAAAGCGAAGCCGCAGGGGGATGCATGAGATGGTGCAAATGCCAACTTTGATGGATATGGTAGGAATTTTGTAAGTTATCATAACACGGACGTGCTAAAATGATTGAAGCACGGAATGTTTTGGAAGTCAATAATGTGTGGTGGAGGGGTGTTGTATACAAGTTATGGTGAAATATATTATATCCGTAGCTTTTCTACAATGTACCTTGTCATACCGGAGCTTGCAAAACATGATTTTACCGCCACGCTTCGAATTCAAACAGATGTCAGTCCAGTTAGGACTGTCCGATTGGTTTGCCAGTCTAGTCCTGTCCATCGATTTTTTGACATCGATTTCAGACCATTCCCGACTCGGTGTCTTCAGTCCTGCTCGGGACCGAACTGATCGGGCTGGGTGGGACCCGCCTGGGGCTTGTGTGAGCTGGTGCTGTGTGCCTGGCTGGACGTTGCTACCTCGAGCTGCCTCGCTTGTACAACTTCTGGACCTTGGGATCTCCGCGCCGCATTGCAACGCTTCCCTTGCAACTCTACTGCGTCTGCGATTCTAGAGCGAGTTGAACAGTAGTAAGACCAGGCGTGCGCAGTAGAAAGTATAGATAAGGCGTGTTAGCGACTGGTGAGATTGTCAGCACATCCAGCTGTAGAACGCAATGGCAGAGGACGCGATCGACCGGCAGCTGGCGCTGGTTTTTGAGATCGAGGAGGCCGGGCGCACCGCCAAGGTGCAGCTCGAGAACTGCCTGCTCCTTAGCGACCGCCTCTCCATCCTCCGACCGCTTCTTAAGGTCAGTCGTAGATCCTTCGACTGCTTTCTTCATCGTAAATCCTCCGACCGCCATCGAAGGTTAGTCATACTGCTCGGGTCCGCTTCGGTACTGCTCGGGTCCGCTTCGGTACTGCTCGGGTCCGCTTTGGTACTGCTCGGGTCCGCTTCGGTACTGCTCGGGTCCGCTTTCTAAGGTTAGTCGTGAATCCTTCGACCCCTTGCTAGGCTAGTCGTCAGTCCTCCGACCTTTCTTTAAGCTCAGCTGTCAACCCCGACCTAGCCATCAGTTCTTCGACCGCTGCTTACGGCCACCCGTCCATCTTATCGCGCTGCACGACATTCGGACATCTTTGATTCACTATCAGCAACATTTCGTCGCTAGAGTCACACCCCGCCCGGTATAGCCCCTGTCACTGAATCCCTTACATCCAACCGGTCATCCCTTGCACGGCGCGTCCTTGACCGAATGCCCTTCCACGGCTGTGCGCGCAGGACGTGCGGCCATGGCTGGCGACGGTTCAAATGGGCCGGCAGCAGGTCGCCGTGGACGCCATCCTGCTGCGACTCGAGAGGTGCGCAGCAAGGGCCTGCAGCCTTCTGCTGGAAGCTGGAAACAGACCTGGCAGGGATGCTCCATTGAGAAAATGGATGCCGTCAACTGGTCGGGTACCCCAGTGGGGTCACCGAGGAGACAATTGGTCGGGCTACTCCAGGCGACGCACGCGCCCCCAATAGGGTTCTCGACCGCCGGTGCATGCAGACTATCCAACCAGTGGATCCGCATGATCTCACGTCCCCCGGCCTGTGTTTTCCACGCATCCATCCACCCATAAAACCACGAATCCGCGCATCTGTACAATTCTGCGTCAATCATGTCTGTGTTCTCTCATCCATGGATACATCCGTCCGAGCACCCATGCATCCCTGCACGCATGCCTCCACCCATCCCTGCCCCCATGCGTCCATCCTGGCAGGTGTCTGCGGCGCCTCAACACGGTGCTGCAGCGCTGTGGTCGCTCCACCCGACTCTGCGTCTCCAGCTTCTACCGAGACCTGCACTTCACACTCAAACAGGTGTGCGTATAACGAGACCTGCACTTCACTCCTAAATAGGTGTGCTACTCTCGATACCTACATTTCAGACCTGATAGGTACACATCCATGCACCATGGTCCGGGCCCCCCAAAGCTCGCTCTACCATACAGATTGCCTCCCCAATCCTGCCCTGCTGAATTGCTTGCTGAAAGTTGTCGCATGCCCATTCATGTTCCCCTGCCCCCATGCCCCGTTTGTGCTGCCTTCCCCTATCCCCCACACCTTCCCAGGCCTCCCTCTCCCTCGCGGACTGCCTGGCGGATTTGGCTGTCCAGGTCTCTCCTGCTCTTCCCGAAGCTGCCAAGCAGGCTCGGGCCATCCAAGCCGAGATCCAGCAGCTCAGGTTCGTGCCAGCTGGCAAGCAGGGGCAGGCCCAGTTGGCGACGGTGTGCGGGCAGGCGACAGAGCAGCAGCGCCTGCTGCAGCAGCTGTGTGGGTCCGTCTCCTCTCTCCTCTCTCAGCTGCAGTCCCAAGACGCCAGCTGTAGCTGCAGTGGCCGCTGCACAGGTGGTTGCAGGGATAGAGATGGCAGAAGCAAGGGGGAAAGGGACAAGGTGGGACGGCAGAAGCAGCAGGGGGTTGTGTTGAGCTGTGAGAGCAGGGCGGAGGTTTCAGGGCAGCTGGTGCGGGTGCTGCAGCAGCTAGAGCGGGAGACAGTGGTGGTGGGCGTGCTCAAGGCGCTGTGCTTCAAGTGCGGGTGGATGGAGGAGAGTGTAGTGAAGAAGCTTATAAGGGATCTGGGAGAGCAGAGGAGAGTGGTTGGGACGCAGAGGTGGGCTGTGGACGAGATTCAACAGTGGCTCAGGAGGCAGGACCTATCAGCTGCTGACACGTGCTCTGTGACTCTGAGTGGAGCATCATCAGTTAGTGAAGGTGGAGGGGTGGGAGACGGAGAAGAGGGGAAGGAGCGGGGGAGGGAGAGCAAGGAGGGGCGGGCGGAGACGGAGATCCTGGAGGCGTGTGAGGCGATGAAAGGGGCGGGCGATGAGGTGGCGTCATGGGATTTGCGGCTGGGGAGGAGGGCTGCTGAGCTGGCGCGGGACGTGGTGCGGGGTCTGCGGCTGCGCATGGCCGACCATCAGAAGGCGCTGCAGGTGGGGGTGGGCACGGAGATTGGCTTTGGTGGGATCAGCAATGAGGACTGGTAGTATTTTACTCTTGCCCTGTAGCAATTGTAATGCCACTGTTCCGACAAAACTACCTCGTATCATTACCCGTGTGACACTCGCTCGTTTGCATTCTTGTCATCAGCATGGTTTGTGGGCAAGCGCCAACGTGCATGCCTCGTTTTACACGAGCCACGGCCTCTCGTGCCTCCTCTTTCCACATCCACTAATCTACCTGCTGCTGCTGCTGCTCCTGCTGCTGCTGCTGCTGCAGGAGGGGCGGGACATGTGGGCGATAGGCGTGTCGTGCGTGGAGGAGCCATGGCTGGCGCTGCTGGCGGAGGAGCTGGTGGCGCACCGCGACGACCTCAGGGAGGTGTCCGCCCATGTCGCTGCTGTGAACGCCGCTCTCAGCAGGGCTGCTTACAATGACGCACAGGACGCAGATGCAGCAGGAGGGCCAGTTGGTGGCGGGAGGGCTGGGGCAGAAGGGAGCAGTGCTGGCGCAAAGGGGGGTGAGGGATGCGAGAGAGGGGGAGGGGAGGGGATGGGGAGGGGAGCGGTGGGGGTGGCGGAGCGGTACGGCGAGCTGCACGAGTGGCAGCGTGTGCTGAGGGACCTGAGCATCCACGTGCGCGGCGTGAGGAAGCAGGCCAACACCATGCAGCGCCTCATGCTCACTGTTGAGGCCACCGCTGCCGCCGCCGCCAGGGGTCAGGCTGCAGGGGCAGGGGGAGAGGTGGGTGGGACGGCAAGTGGGAGTCGAACGCCGGGTCGTGGGAGCCGGGGGAGGGGGGAGAGTGATGTGGGGCTGCTGCTGGCCCGGATGGACGGCGATCTTCGGCAGTATGTGGGCGAGCTGGTGGGGCATGCGGGCGTGGCGGGCGGCGTGCTGAGCGTGCTGGAAGAGGACTTGGACGAGGCGGAGAGGAGGGCGGAGTGGGAGGGGAGGGGGGAAGGGGCGAAAGGAGACAAGGAGCATGAAGAAAAACGGTTAAGGGAAAGGAAAGAGGACAGTGGGCAGGAAATCGAACGGAGGGCAGTGGGGGATCTTGGAGGTGGAATGGAGAAGGGGAAAGAGAACGCTCGTGCAGCAGGGACGAGGCTGATGGGGGGTGGTCGAGCCGCAGGCAAGGAGGGCTTGAGAGGCAAGGAGGCCCTGAGAGACAAGGGGCAGGAGAGGGTGGATGAGAAGGTGGGCAGGCATGGGGAGGGAGGAGGGGCTGGTGTGGCTGGTGTGGCTGGTGTGGCTGGTGTGGCTGGTGTGGCTGGTGTGGCTGGTGTGGTGGATGGCGAGGTGGAGCTAGCAGATGAGAGGCGTGGGGGGAGGGCAGGCAGAGGGCGGAGCACAGGGAACGAAAGCACGCGAGGTGACATATGGGATGAACGGAAGGGCCCTGGAGGGGCGGCAGAGGACGGCAGTAGTGGAGAGGAAGGGGTTAATCCAAGGAGGGCATACTCGGGGAAGGTAGATCTGGCAGCAGAGCAACGGGGAGGTGTGGGGGTAGGGGCAAGAGCAGGTGGAGCAGACATGGGTGACGGGGCAGCAGGGGGGCTTGTTGGAGACGAGGCAGGGAGAAGAGGCACAGAAGCTGCAACTGATGGTGCTGGGGCGGCTAGTTTCGAGGGGAGTGTAAGAGAGGGAGGGAGGGAGGGTAGAGGGGAGGGAGAGGAGGCGATGGGGGAGGGGGAGGCGGTGCTGGCAGCGCTGGTGTCGGCTCTGTGGTACGGCAGCGAGGAGGACCAGGAGGCGGCCGCCGATGCTGTCTTGGAGGTATGGCCGAGGCTGTGATGGGCAAGTTGGCGAGCGGAGAAAAAACTGCGTGACATGAGTGCATGCGGTAGTGACCCGGGTAGAGCGGTTGATGCTCTTCCGTGTGGGCGAGCTGTGGTGCGCCACACCATGGTGTGTGCAACATCAACAGTCTTACGTTGGAGTTGACTCGCCATCACTTGGTCCTTTCACTGCCGCGTTCTCCCCTCAAGCCATGTGCCTCTCAGCTGCGCCCTCTCAGCGCTCGTGGCATGATGTCAGTGGTGCACGGCACACACCTGCCGCCCCCATCCCCCCTACTCCCTACAATCCACCTGCACCCTCCACGCCTTTGCCCTTTCGTCATTCGTCCTTCCCCATCCTTCCCCCGCACCCCCTCTCCCCATGCCCTGTGCTCTGTACCTTGACGCGACAGTGGCACCCCTACAGCCACCCCACTCCTCTCACATGACCCCCTCTCCCTCCTCGTGCCCTGCCCCCTCATTGCCCCAAACACAGGGCTGCGACAGCGGCGCCATCACCGCCACCCCCTCCCTCTCAGCGCGAGTGCTCTCAGGCAAATGGCAGCCCGCCCTCGCTGCCGCCCTCAAGCCCCCCTCCTCCTGCCGCCCGCCGGTGATCCAATCAGCTGTCGCCACGTCAATCGTCTGCCTTGCTGTCTCTGATGAGCTGCGCAGATCGCTGGCCTCTCAGGGCCTTCTTCAGGTGGGTGAGGAGAGATCAACGCTGTGGGCTAGGTGGAAATGGTCCAGTGGTATGGTAGGTATCTGTGTCTCAGGTGCTGCTTCGAGCTGTCTTGTCTCAAGTGCTGCTTCGAGCTCTCTTGTCTCGGGTGCTGCTTTCACGGGACTGTTTCCTTGCAACCACAACCCCTGCTCGTGATATTCCTCACTGTACCAGTACCCCTTTTCCCACCCGCTAACACCCGCCCCTTGCTCCTTGCCCTCCCTTCTCCACGCCACGCCAGGCGCTGCTGCTGCAGATCCAGAAGCCCCACCGCTTCACTCTCAGCCGCTGCCTCTTTGCACTCGGCCAGCTGGCGCGGTGTGATTCGGTGCGCTGCCACGTCACCGAGTCGGGGTCAATGTCGTTCCTCGCGCCGCTGCTGCGCTCCAAGGTGTGTCCCACAGCCCTCCGACTTGCGCATTTTACTGCCCCTACACCACATCAGCCCCCCTCATAGGTCTCAGGAACCATTGCTTCCACCATTCGTTTCTAGTGACCCCGTATGCAAGCAGCGTAAATCAACCCCCATGTGTGATCCCATCCGACAAGTCATGATGGTGTGGGATGGGTGTCGGTCGGGCTGCTCTTTAGGACCATATCCTTCACGCCATCCCCTTCAATGCCAACCCCTCCACCCCTACTGCGTCTCTTCCCCTCCATCAAACACCCCCCCCCCCCGCCCCCTCACCCGTCAGGACATGGAGGTGCGCGAGGCCGCCGCGCTGCTCTTCAAGAACGTGGTCTTCCGAGACCCCCCTCAGGACACCCAATCATTGCTCGCCACGCGCGCATCTGTGGTCAAGCACGGCGCCGTCCCCTTCCTGCTCTCCTCACTCGCCATTCCTGACCCCGCCAACTCTAGTGCCACCCCTAGCATCCCACACAACCCAGCAGCAGCAGCTGTGACGAGTGAGACGGCGGAGTACATGCTGGGGATAGTGGGCGGGTTGGCTCAGAGTCCTCGAGCGGCCGTGCCGCTGCCCAGCAGGCGGCTCATCGCGTGCGTCATCCCCCACCTCGCTCTCCCCTCCACCCCCAGCGTGCGTGTCTATGCTGTCGCTGCCCTCGCTGCCCTTGCTAGAGTCAACAAGGAATGTCTCACTAACGGGGGTGACAGTGTGGAGGGCGCGTTGAGGAGGGAGGGAGGGCAGGTGGGGGGGTCAGAGAGGGCGGAGGGGGATGTGGTGGCGGTGGTGGAGCTGGAAGGGGTGGTGCCGCTGCTGCACGTGGTCAGGGATGAGAGTGTGGGCGAGAGGGTGCGGCTGCATGCCGTGTCGGTGCTGTGTGGCATTGCTGGCCTCAAGAGCAGGTGAGATGGGCTGTCAGCAGTGCGTGGTGCCTGTGATTGGGGGCGATATCAGCTGCTCAAGCACAGGCTCGAGCTGTCAGATGGCAATGCATGTGTGCGTGCAATACTCACACCCCTCAGCCCAGCCAGCCATGGCCAGTGTGCGCAGTTCCTCCATAAACACATCTCAGCCTCCTCCCCATCCCACACCCACCCCCCCTCCCTCTGCTGCAGGGACTACCGCTCGTTAATAGCGTTGGAGGGCGGGCTGCCCCCCCTCGTGGGCCTCCTCGCGCCCGCCTTCCCTCTCGATCTGCGCCTTCTCGCCGCCGCCACGCTGCGCTTCCTCGCAGCTTCCGAGGTGGTGCGGCGATCCCTGCTGCTGGCGGGCGCCCTCCCCCCGCTGGTGGAGCTGCTGCGCGCCCAGCTGCCCAACCCCTTCACTGCGGGCAGCGCCGCAGCCGCCGTGGCGGCGCTGGTGCCGGGCGAATCAGGGAGTGCGGGGCTGCCGGTGGGGCTGTCTGCTCCGGCAGAGGAGCAGCTCGTGCTGGCAGGGGCCGTGCCGCTGCTGGTGGCCGTGGTGGTGGGGGCTGCTGGTGTTGGTGGTGGTGATGGCGTGGTGGGAGGTGGGGGGGGGTGGGAGAGGAGGGGGCGGAGCATGAGAGGGAGGTGAGGAGAGCGCTGAAGCGAGTGGCGGAGGTGAGCAGGAAGGGGGCAGAGGAGATAGTGGCGTGTGGAGGGAGCAGGATGCTGGAGGGGATTCGTAAGGCAGGAATGTAGTGTGCAGGTTCAGGATAGCGGCAGTTCCAAGCATACGTATCTGTAGAGATCTGATGCGCCACTTGTATCAGTGAGATGGCCTGCAGAGGAGCAAGCGGTTTTTTCAATGGCCTCATCCACTCTCAAGAGACTTGTAACTCAGATGGCGGCCATTTGGCATCCATCCATTCCACATTCTCCACCTCACCCTAGGATTTGAGCATATGCACAAGGGCTACAGAATCCTACTTCAGATCAGCAGAATGATAAGCACAGCACTGCCGTCACACCGGCAGACGGTGCTAAGGTTGCATGATGTCGCAAAGGTTGTTGGGTTTACGAAATCGAAAAGTCTCCATTCTGACACCCTACTGGTACCATGAGTGCGTTTCCTTATTTAGCACCTCTGCCATGAGCCCCCCCCCCTACCACACACACAAAGCCACGAGAGGAATGGCTTCCACTGCACGCAGATTGACACCTAGAGCTCATCCTTGTCTGCTGAAGCAGACGCAGCGCTTGCAGCCTTCTTGGCAGCACTGCTGGGCATCTTGATGTCCGCTCCCTGGTGATGCTTGTGCGGCTGCTGCTTTGCACCATGGTGCTGCTGGTGATGCGGGCCATGCATGAGGCGGCACAGAAGCGAGTTGGCAGCATCCCAGGCCTGCTGAGCAGCCACCAGCAGGTCGCTCAGCCAGATGCGCAGCACCCTCTCCGTGCGCTTCACCATCACCGCCGCCTTGGGCCGTCGGTACTCGCCAAAGCGCCAGTCCTTGGAGGCCGTGCGCCGCGTGGTGGCTGAGTCCAGGGAGTCTGAGGGTGCGTGGGAGCGAGGGGTGGTGGGAGGGGGATGGGGAGAGAGGGGAGAGGAGTGGATGGAGCCTTGGGCCGCTGGCACTCGCCAAAGGGGCAGTCGCTGTGGTTATGGGGCATGAGGCACATGAGAGGACGGAGTGTGAGGGGGCATAGGAGAGGAAGCAGTGGCATCCGTCAAGTGGAAGCCCATGTGTGAGGCCTTGGAAACAACTTGACTCCTATGGGAAGGATTAAGGAAGCCCTGCGGATGAAAGGGCACGCCATGATACATGCCCCCACCATGCCCCTGCCCCCCTGCCCCCCTGTCCCCCTGTCCCCGCTGTCCCGCTGCCCCCATGCCCCGCTGTCCCCGCTGCCCCCCTGCCCCCCTGCCCCCCTGCCCCCCTGCCCCCCTGCCCCCTGCCCCCTGCCCCCCTGCCCCGCTGTCCCCCTGCCCCGCTGTCCCGCTGTCTCCCTGTCCCCCCTGTCAAAGAGCCTGGAAGTCTTCCAACGGCAGCCCCTAACCACTACTAGACCTCCGCCCAAGTATGGTTCCTTAGTATGGCCCTAACTGACTGTGGCCCCTACTCAGGCACCCCAAAACCCCATCACAGACCCTACCTGTACCCATGCCACCATGCCACCATGCCACCATGCCACCATGCCACCATATCACCATGCCACCATGCCACCATGCCACCATGCCACCATGCCACCATGCCACCATGCCACCATGCCACCATGCCACCATATCACCATGCCACCATGCCACCATGCCACCATGCCACCATGCCACCATGCCACCATGCCACCATGCCACCATATCACTAGTCCTTATTGACAGGCCTGAAAACCTTAGCAAAGACCGTATTTGCCCCCATGCCACATCCCAGCAGCGCCCTCACCTGCCCCCATGCGGCCGGTGGGCTCCACGGCACGGCAGAAGGAGCGCTCCTCCCCCTTCCCAGCCCGCTGCTGCAGCTGCTGCCACTGCTCCTGCCGCTGCTGTGCCGTCACCCGCCGCGACTCCACGATCTGCACAGAGGGGGAGAGAGGACAGGGGAGCAGGGGGCATGCGCACTCACAAGGGAACAAGTGGTGAGGTGAAACTCTGCAGTCTCACATACGGGCATTAGGGAGGAGTGGTGGAGGAAGTAAGCCACATGGTGCACGCCAGCCAGCATATACCACCTGCTTCTCCGCATCCTCCTCACTCTCTCCCATCCTACCACCGCCACCCTTTACTCAGGCTGCTGCGCCGCCACCCCCTTCACCCCCCCTGCTGGCAGCAACCATGCTGGCCCTCCCTCCCAGCCCCAGAAGCCCCCCTCGTTCTCGGCAGCGCTGTGCAAGCCCCCTCGCACCTCCTTGAAGAGCGTGTAGGAGGGGCGCAGCACGCGCGTGAGGTTGGGCGACGCGCGGTCCACACCCGCCAGGCCGAACTTGGGGCAGTAGCCATCCGCCCACTCCCAGTTGTCGCTGATGGTCCAGTGGAAGTACGCGTCCACCGGCATGCCCTGCGGTGACACGGCGGGGGGGTGGGGTGGGGGGAAGGGGGGAGAGCATGGCAGCGAGGCATGAGTGGGGCCACGTCAGCACATGGTGGCCCACTCGCAGTTGTCGCTGATGGGTGAGTGCAAGCAGACATCCATGGGCATGCCCTGGGAGAAGGAGAGGGGGGGGGAGGGGAGGGTGCGTTTGGGAAAAAGGAGGAGAGAGCTGCAAGGCGCATTATGAGGGGCTGGACACACGTTGCTGCGGATGGCCCAACTAGAGCGGGCGTGGCCCGCCATGCCGTGGGTAGAGCGTGAGAGGGGGCGATGGAGCACGAACAAGCAGGCGTCTAGAGGCAGAGAGGGGGCAGCTCTGCAGGCAAGGGAGTGCTCCAGGTGACCCCATAGCGTGCCAGGGCAGTGGAATTGTGGAAGGGGGGAGAAGGGAGCATGTGAGGGCAGGGACGGACGGCAGCACATCCCTTGCGCATGGCGCCCGCACCTCCTTGATGGCGGCGTTCAGCGCCAGCAGGTGCTCGATCAGGTACGGGCGGCGGATGTTGTCCTGGGTGTCGGCGAAGCCGTTCTCGGTGACGATGTAGCGCAGGTTGGGGTGGGTGGGCGAGTAGCGGTGGTGGAAGGCCATGAGGATGCGGTAGAAGCCGTCCGGGTACACGGCGCGCCCCGCCTCTGAGAACTCCTCCTCGCCCACGCTCTGCATGCCCGCCACCGACATGAACTCCTGGGAGGGGCGCAAGGGGGGAAGACAGGGGAGGGGAGACAGGGGAGGGGAGACAGGCGAGGGGAGACAGGGGAGGGGAGACAGGGGAGGGGAGACAGGGGAGGGGAGACAGGGGAGGGGAGACAGGGGAGGGGAGACAGGGGAGGGGAGACAGGGGAGGGGAGACAGGGGAGGGAATGAGTTTTGAGGCGTGGAATGAGATAGGGGAGAGAGGGGAGGGGATGAGGAGACGCGGGATAAGAAGAAGGGCGTCAGGTGCTGCTGCTCTGCTCCCAGTGCCTCGGAAAGTTCCTCCTCCTCCACGCTCTGCATGCCCGCGCCACCGATACGAACTCGTGGGGGGAGGGGAATACAGAGCGCAGGGCGCTGTGGGCGCATGTGAGGATGAGAAAGAAGCCGTCGGGGGCAGCCTGCCTTCCCTGCTTCGGAAAACTCCTCCTCCTCGCCCACGCTCTGCATGCCTGGGGGCGCGATGGGAAGGGCGTGATGGGAGCTGAGAGTGCGTGGAGGAAGAAAGCAAGAGGGAGGAAGCGAGTGGTGGGGTCCAGCATTCCACGTGCCTCCCACGCGTGCATGCCCCTCGCTGCGAGCCTGCTTGGCGGTGGAAGAGAGAGGATGGCATGGGCGGGTGCATGGCAAGCAGCAGAGGGGCGCATCCCCCCTTGCCCTCTCAGCCGCCACTGGAGCCATCTTCCACAGAGAGGGGAGGGGAGGTTCACGCACACTACAACGGGCATGGCGGGCCGGGCCAAGGACGGCAGCACGTCGATAGCCGCACAGGCGCGGAGGATTATCCCGCTTCTTTGCTGCGTCTGCTTCAGAAAACTGGCCTGACCTGGCCGCAGCAGGTGCTGACCTGGCCGCAGCAGGTGCTGACCTGGCCGTAGTAGTTGAGACCGCAGAAGTCGAGGTGGTGCTGGATGTGGTCGACCCAGGGGAAGAGCGTCATCCAGTCAATGTACAGCGGCACCACCACGTCCAGTGCACTGAAGGGCGTCATGAACGCCGTGTTCGCTGCTATGCCCACCGGCGCCCTGCTCCTGCTGGGGTGACCAGTGAAGGGGTAAAATTCGGGCATACGGGCTGGCTCCAGGTTCAGGGTTTGGGGTTTAGATTTTGGAGGAGTGGAAGGGAGAGAGGGGAGGAAGTGTGAAGCAGTGAGCGCAGCAGCCGTCGTTCGTTCTGTGCAGAAAGACCAGAGCGAGCGAGCAATTGCAGCGAAGGGCATGGATGGCAGATTAGGTGCATGGGGGATGGACGGATTGCGGGCGGGGAGGGGGGGTGGGGGAAGGTGGAGGGGTTTTGCGCGGGCGGTGGGGGAAAGGGGAGGGAGGAAGATGTGTGTTGAAGCGGCAGTACGCAGAGTTGAATCGGTTTGTCATTCGTGATGAGCTTCCCTGCCACGGTGACGAACATCATCGTGTCAGGGCGCACACTGGCATGCATGGGAGTGCGAGATCCAAGGGCGGGGAGGAAGGTGAGATCCAAGGGCGGGGAGGAAGGTGAGATCCAAGGGCGGGGAGGAAGGTGAGATCCAAGGGCGGGGAGGAAGGTGAGATCCAAGGGCGGGGAGGAAGGTGAGATCCAAGGGCGGGGAGGAAGGTGAGATCCAAGGGCGGGGAGGAAGGTGAGATCCAAGGGCGGGGAGGAAGGTGAGATCCAAGGGCGGGGAGGAAGGTGAGAGCGGGACATGAGCAGAGACGCACCCTTTCTTGATGGTGTTGAAGGCTGCGATGTGGGCGTCGCCGATGTGGCGCATGGCCTGGCTGTACTGCCCCACGGGCGACATGCAGAGCGCGGACTGCAGCAGGGTGGGGCGCTTGCCGGGCGGCCAGACGCCCATGCAGTAGGTGAGGATGACGAAGAGGTGCGGCTCGTTGAACGTCACCCAGTAGTCCACCAGCGGGCCGAACTCCCGCACCGCCACCCTGGGGGCCAAGGGAGGGCGGTGGGGGGCAGCGAGGAGGCAGGGCCCGGTGAGAGAAGGGGAGAGCGGCGCGTGCCACGTGGTGGTAAGAGCATGCGGCGAGCGAGAAGTGCTGGGACACGGTAAGGTGCTGGGCTGTGCGGTATGCACTACAGGGTGCAGCCAAGGCAGTGGATCTCCTTGCTGAGAGGCTGCAAAGCGGTGTAACGGCTTGCTGCTCTGCACGGCGCCCAGCCCACCACTTCCCACGCCCCAGGGCTCACTTGGTCCAGGCGTCGAAGTGGGCGACGAGGGACGCGTTGGTCCAGCCGCCCAGGGGCTCGGCCCAGGTGGGCAGCGAGTGGTGGAAGAGCGTGAGCATGACGCGCATGCCCCTCGCCCGCACCGCCGCCATGATCTCCTTGTAGCGCGCCACCGCCGCATGGTCGATCTGATATGGGCGGACGGAGGGACGAGAGCAGGGAGAAGGGAGAAGGGGGAAGGAAGAATCGGGTTTGTAGACGCCTCAGAGTGCCCCTCGCCCGCACCAGCGCCATCACCTACCGCGCCACTGCTGTGCGATCGACCGGCCAGGGGGGGAGGATGGAGGGAGAAGGAGGAAGTACAGAGCTTGAAGGGGGCGCGTTAAAGCCCCTCGCGCACACCAGCGCCATGACCTCCTGTAGCGCGCCACTGCTGGGCGGCGGACCTGCCATGCGGGAAGGATGGCAGGCGATCAGGGGTGAAAGCAGGTGGCGATTGGCGCGCGTGTGGGGCGTGGCGAAGTGGGCACACTGGAGCCCGAAGCCAAACGCATGCAGTTGGATGCAGAAGAGGGCTTCACTGCACGCCGCACAGCCCCCTGGGAGCGAGAGAGCGCATGCTCACATCCGGCCTCATCTGACGCACCTCAAATTCCACCCCCGCACCTCCATCTCCCCCCCTGTGGCGCCGACAGCTGCAGCCTTCCCCGTCCACACCACACTCACTCACCTCCATCTCTCCCCCACGGCGCCCACAGCATCACCCTCCCCCAGTGCGCGCCCATGCACAAAGGCCTCCAAAGCCCCCCTCGTCATTCTCTCGCATGCACACCCACCCGCCACCTCACCTCCATCTCGCCCCCCTGCGGCGCCTGCAGCACCACCCTTCCCCAGTCGACGCCCATGCGGAACGCCTCGACGCCCGCCCCCGCCGCCAGATCCACCTCCACCTCGGGCTCGCTCCAGAAGCGCAGACGCTGCTCCGCCTGGGGCACGTTGTGCCACGCGCGCACCTGGCAGGCAGGAGGCAGGGCAGGCAACAGGCGCCATGCAGAGGTCCTGAAGGCTCACGGAAGTCAAGCTTCTGTTCACTCCTGCAGGCGTCATATGCATGCGCGGCTGCGGACTTCGGTTCTGTGCTGCGGCCAGAGAAAAATCTGGCATCATGGCCTTGGAGGGGTATGGGGTTTGAGGTGCGACCACGAGACAACGAGACAACGAGACCACGAGACAACGAGACAGAGTACGAAAGAGAGGGGGAGTATGAACAAGAAGAAACGGAAACAATGGGGGTGAGACAACCGACCGCAAGGCGAGACACAAAGGAGGGAAAGATTAATGGAAGCTAAGAGCTGCACGAGAGGAAGGACACAGAGCAGGCGACGACGCGGGGGAGGCGCTGACCGGGCCTCGGTCCGCCTCCTCGTTGCCGCCGCGCCGAGCGAAGCGCAGCCACGCGTCGTCCAGCTGGTCCTCCACGTGTGCAGGCGCCGTGGCGAGCCCGAAGAAGAAGCCCTTGCCCAGCACCGGACAGTCACCTGCTGACGTGGACGAGGGGAATGGAGGCGATGCTGTGGATATGTGAAAATGGACGGCCAGGATGCTGCAGATAGGCATGCGATGTGGAATGTGGAATTCAAGACTGCGTGAGCACGCCATGGGCGCGTAAAGCGGGAAGTGACGACGCGAACACGGAGCACGGAATGAACGCGCCTCAACCAGAGCGAGTTCAGTGCAGCTAAGATACGCCATGGCGTCGCACAACACACTGCTCCAGGCACGCACTCTCGGACTCGAGGCACGCGGGCTTGAATTCCGCGAGAATGCCGTCCGTGTCGGTGACGGGGGGCGGGCGGAAGGCGAGCTCGTGCTTCCAGTAGATCATGAAGAGCAGTCCGAGCGCCTGCACCATCGTCAGCACCGCGAACACCGTTGCCGACAGCAGGCGCGCGACGGACACCATGGCTGCGATGGCGGCAAGATCATCAAATGGGGAGGGATATGAAATTCGTCGAGTCTGCTAGATTCGTCGGTTGGGGGAGGCAACCGTGGGGGAGGTTCAAGGAGAGGATGATGATGGTCTCGACAGTACCGAAGGTGAAAGCTCGTTGATTGCTTCCTCGATTTCAAGCGTAGTTGTTGTAGACTACACCTTTCGTAACTTCGAGTTTATGTGAAACATGTTAACGTAGAAACGAATGATTACTAGAGGTGGAAACCTAGAACAAATACTAGTTGGTTGTACTCACTAGAAGCATACCTCAGTCTAGCCTATAACTTCTACATAGATAATATGTATAAGTTGACACACCCCCTAGGCTAGACAAGGGGTGAAACTAAACAAGAAGCAAACAGCTCAGGGCGGCACTACTAGTCCAACCACTGAGGCAGGGGTCTGGAGACCAGTCAGCAAGAATACAACCAAAACTGAAGCAAGCCAGGGTGGCACTACTAGTCCAGCCACTGGAGGTAAGGCCACAAGGCCAGTCTGACAAGCATATATAATAGAGAGTACACAATCAGGATCCTAACAGGGGAGCAGCTACAGGAACAAGACCAAGCTGTACACAGTGCCGCTGATGATCTTTAGGCGCAAGCGCCTTAGTAAAGATATCAGCTGTGTTGGCACCTGAGGCCAAGTGAACTACGCGGGCCTGGCGGCGCTGCTGTAGCTCGCGCAGGAGGAAGTACCGCAGCTGGATATGCTTCGCTCTGCCCTCAAGCCGAGGCTCCTGACACAGGAGTATCATGGCCCTGTTGTCAGCGTACAGGACCGGGGCAGAGCTAGGCCGCTCACCTAAGTCTGTGAGCAAGAAGGTCAGCCAGCGGAGCTCCTGTGCCGCCATGGCACCAGCGTCAGGTCCTTCAGAGGTGGAAACGAATGATTACTAGAGGTGGAAACCTAGAACAAATACTAGTTGGTTGTACTCACTAGAAGCATACCTCAGTCTAGCCTATAACTTCTACATAGATAATATGTATAAGTTGACAAAACACCATACATTAGGTAAACACAAGGTACATGTAGAGGATACGCACTTGAGTAAGAACCAGACAAAATGAAAGTACACTTCCTTTGTTTTCTGATAACAATGGTTCTAAAAAAAATGCCATCTTTCTCATGGTTTAACATGGATTGGATGTTCACAAATACTATGGGAGCAACAAGGAAAAGAAGACCCCACACACAAGAGCTTCATTTCACCAACTCGTAAACCTCCAAAAGTACTGTAAATTCGATAGCTCAACTCTACCCTAGCCATGGCATGGCATCAACCTAATGCCTTGAGCATCTCTAGCACCTCTGCCGCCGCCCCCGTCTCCTCATCAAACATGTCAAACTCCACACTGCCACCCTCCGCATCGCCACTCGCAGCCGACACCTCCACCACATCCGCCTCCTCGGCCACCACCACCGGCGGCGCCGTCATGCTCTTCCTGTTCTCCACCGACCCCCCCTTGCCCTCACCACCGCCATGTGCGCGCGCACCCACTCGCGTGTTGGCGGTGGGGCGCACGGGCCCTTTGGAGTAGATGATGGCGAGGTCCAAGGCACGCACACGCAGGGCGAGTGCAGAGAGCGTGGCGCAGGAGGCGGCCGCCGCGGAGGAGCACCAGAAGCGCCACCCCAGGCACAGGCGGTCGGCGCGGATGGCGAGCTCAAGGAGCAGGCAGGCCTGCAGCAGCTGGGGGGGCACGGGGACAGGGGGGGATGGGGGGTAGAATGGGTGTGAGGAGTGGTACAAGGGACTTAATATAACCTCTAGGAAACCTAACACTGAAGACTTTTTGGTGTAAGGGTGAGTGAGTACTAGGAGTGTGGGTGGGTGAGGGGTTGAAGGATGTTGGAGTTAGGCATTTTGGAGTTTCAGGGATGGCACAGGAGGAGGGAGCAGGAGATGTGGAGAAGCAACGAAGGAAATCTTCAGAAAGGAACCGAAGAATGCTACGCATGGAAAGGGGGTGATCTGCAAGCACGCATGCATGGCCTCACATGCACAGTGCATGTAGTGCGGAGGGGGGAAAGGGAGTGGGATGGATAGAGAGAAGCGAGGTGCACGAGGAGCAGCAGCAGCGGCTCACAGTGCGCCACGTGGCAGGCTGGGCGCGCTTCACCATGGCCCGCCACGCGCGCCTCCTCCCCGAGCGCCCCCGGGGCCCCTCCATGGCCTCCACGCCCGCCCCCGCCTCCACGTCCAGCAGCTCGCGCTTCACCGCCGCCACCACGCGCCCCTCCCACTCCACGCCCTCGCCTCCCTCGCCCGCCACGCCCCCTCCGCACACACCTGGAGGGCGGAGGGCAGGCGAGGGAGGGGAGGGCACGGGGAGGGAGGGCGGCGAGGGCAGCGGGGGCGGAGGGAGGTGCGGTGTGGGGGGGAGGATGGCGGGTGGGTGATGGGCGAGTGGGACGTTGCGAATGAGGAGAGCGGCTGGGTGCGCAGGGGAGGTGCTGAGAGACACGCAGCTGCTGCTGCTGCTGACGTCAGCCATGCTGGTCGCGTTGGGCGGTGGTGGCAGGTGCTCCCAGGAACTCAGCCAAGCAGAGTGAGGCATGGGGGAGAGCATGCTGCCATGCACGGCACTGGGTGTGCCGTCCAACATGCCCCAAACATCCACACACAGATCCTCCGTGCCTGCACCCTCCGTGCCTGCACCCTCCGTGCCTGCACCCATTGTCACAGCAGCAGCAGCACACACATCCACCACCCCCCCTCTGCTCGCGTCCCCCGGAGGAGTCTGTGGCACATCATTGTGGCGCCCCTCGCCCACGGCCTCTGAGAGCTGCTCTATGGCCGCCAGCTCCCCTGCCACCGCTTCCCATGCCTCCAAGTCGCTACTGGCACGTTGCTCTAAGGCACCGTCACCGCGGCACCCCTCCCTGTCCGTGCTTGTGGGTGCGACGCCAGTGCCCATGGTAGCAGCGGTGAGAGCACCGGCACCAGCAGGCGGGCCAGTAGAAGCGGTAACAGTGGCAGGACCAAGGAGTCGAGGAACAGGCGCTGTGGCAGCATCAGCAGCAGCAGCCACGGCACCCACGCCCCTGCGTGCAGCTGATGCCTGTGCTGCCACACGGCCAGCAGCACTGCAACCTTCCACCCCGTCGCTTCCTTCGCCCCCTCCCACCCCTGCTGCTCCCTGCTCCCTCCTGCCCCCTTGCCCACCTTCATCCGCCTCCTGCCCCCTTGCCTCTCCATCGTTACCCCTCCCTCCTCCCTCGCCTCTCTTCCTCCTCTTCCCAGCTCCAGTGCGCAGCAGCTGGCAGCCTGTCACCAGCCCCTCCTCGCCCACCCCGTCTCCCTCCCCTTCCCCCTCTCCCCCTCGCCGCTTCGTGTGCGTGTTAGCCATCAGCAGCTGCCCGTGCCCCGCCTGGCCTGCTGCCCCCTCGCCCTCCTCGCACCGCACCACCCTCATGCGCTCACCCAGCGTCGTAGCTCCTGTGGTTACCACTTCTTGGGAGAGAAGCACGTCCCCTGCTGCAGGCGGGGCTGCTGCTGCTTCCCCGTTTGGTGACGTGGCAATCACGGGTTGGCTGGCCATGACATCACAGAGCCTGAGTGCGCCATGTGGCATGATGGCATCCTCAGTCTCTCCCCTTGCTGCTGCAAGAGCTGCCACGTCAGCAGGAGCCAGGTCAGCAGCAGTTGGAGGGTCAAAAATAGTCCCCACATCTTCATCGTCATCCTCCCCTGTAAGCTGGTGCCAGTGCTCCCCGTCCCTCGCCCTCTCGCCCACCGCCCCCCCCCCAGCCTTGTCCGCATTGGCATCCATCCCATTCGCAGCCCCTCCACCCGTCGTGTGCCCTGCCTTCTGCTCGCCCCCTCTCTCTCCTCCCATATATCCCCCTTTCGCTCCTCCCCGCTCGCCCCCTTTCCCTGCGCCCTTCCCTGCGCCCCTGCCCCCCTTGGCCCTCAGCCTGCACGCCCGCTTGTGCCCCTCGAACTCCGCCTTGGCGCTGTATGTCTCGTGGCAAACCACGCAGTGCCACCTGGCCGCCCACTGCAGCTCCAGGCACTCGCACCTCCACACGCCCCTGCTGCCGTCACTGCGTGCCGGCACCCCCACCGTCCCCTTGAGTCCCGTGCCTTTCTCCTCCCCCTTGCTCCTAACCTTCTTTCCTGTCCCCTCCTCCCCTCCCTGCTCCCCTCCCATCCCTATGCCTGCACCCATCTCCACCGCTCCAAATCGCTCTTCCAGGAAGGCCAGAGCACGCAGGGTGCGGAGGGAAGGCGGGGGCAGCGAGAGGGCGTCTGTTTGGGCGCCTTGGGTGGGGGGCTCGGCTGGTGGGAGTAGGGGTAGCGTGGGTGGCGGGTGGGAGGTTGGAGGGGGGGGCGATAGGCGGGACTGCAGGTGCACTGGGAGTGAGAGAGGGGGGGACAGGGAAGAGGGGGAGACAGAAGAGCATGTGGCCTCCCCAGGTGTGGCCTGATGTGGAGGCAGAGGGTTGGTCAACCACTGCTGACGTGGCATAGGGCCTGGCAGCAGCTGCTGCAGCCGGCTGTGAACCCTTGCCAGCTGGCTGCCAGGTGTTGCTGATGCAGCCATCCACGAGAGAAGAGCATCCACGTCAGCAGCAGCAGAAGCAGCATCCTCATCACTCACCGTCACAAGCGGTGCGTCACTCCCTTTCCCCCTTGCATTCCCCCCCACCATTGGCATCCTTCCCTTGCCAACATACCACCGCCACTCTCCCCCCTCCCCCTCTCCTCCGCCCCGCTCACTACCGCCAGCCTCAGCAGCAGCAGCAGCAGCAGCAGCAGCAGCAGCAGCGCCAGCAACAGCGGCAGCATTGGCAGAGGCCAGTAGCGCCTCCCCCAGGTGCACCTGCCTGGTGCAGGCGTCATGGCAGCACGCGCCTCTGCATGCCGGCCACAGGCGCTGGGGGGGATGGGCGGGGCGGGAGGGGGAGGTGGGGCGCAGAGGAGGAAGAGGAAGAGGAGGGGCCGAGCGAGCAGGAGAGGGGGGTGGTGGTGGGAGGGAGGTGGAGGGGTGAGAGGCGGCAGGCTGAGAGCTCCCGATGGCCCCAAGGGGGCACCACACCAGCACTGCTGCTCCTGGCGCCTGTGCCCCCTGCGGCTCATCTGCATGCCGCCCCACGGCTCCTCCGTCCATGGCAGCACAGGCGCGCGGCGCAGAGAGATCAGCAGACGCCCCAGCATCACCACCAGCCTCACCATCACCACGGCTGTCAGCATCAGCAGCATCGGAACCAGCAGCATTGCCACAAGCCCCTGACCCATGAACTGCACTGTTAACGATGCCCATGCTGACAACAAAGAACAGCCGTCCAATCTCGTCCGATCCAACAAATACTACTGCTTCACCGCTCTCCTGCCCCTCTCCCTGTACACCTCTGAGCCTCCCTTGATGAGCGCTAGAGCACCACAGCGGCATGCCGCATTCCCTCCCATCAACAACCACCTCCTGCTGCCCCCCTGCCCCCTCTCCCTCATCCCCTTCCTCTGCTTCTTCTCCCTCCTCCTCCTCTCCCTCGTCCTCCTCATCCTCCTCTACCTCCCTCACCTCTTCCACTTCCTCCCCTTCTCCCACCTCGCCCTTCCTCGCTCTTCTTGCCTTTCTCAATTTCGACCGCTTCAGCCTCCTTCTCCCTCCACCTCTCTCTCCCTCACCCCTTTCGACCTCCTCCACACTCCTCTCACTCTCCTCCCCATCTTCCCCCCCATCCTCCTCCCCACCCTCCCCCTCTCCACCGCCACCACCGCCATGCACACAGCCTCCTCCCACGGCAGCCCACACTCCCCTCAACGCGTGCCTCAGCCCCTGGGAGCGCTTGCGAGTGGCGCCCCACACAAGGGGCCAGTCTAGCTCGCGGGCCAACGGGGAGCGTGGCAGGTGCTGGGGGTGCTGGTGGTGCTGGTGGTGGCACAGGGCTCGGTAGGCAGCTGTGCGGGCGGCCAGGCGACAGAGAGTGTGCAGAAGCAGGATTCTCTGCAGTCAAAGGCGGGCAACGGGAGTCAATGGCAGTCAGCATCAGTCAACGGCAGTCAAAAGCAGTCAATGGCAGTCACACAGCAGCCAATGCAGTCACATACAGACAAGAACAATAAAGGGCAATCGGACACGTGACGATGCTACTTTTGGGCCGTTCACCTCAGAATGCATGAATGTGCGACCCCTCCTCATGCCAACACACGCATGCACCATGACACGCTGTCATGCACCATGAGACGCTGTAATGCACCATGACACGCTGTCATGCACCATGAGACGCTGTCATGCACCATGAGATGCTGTCATGCACCATGAGACGCTGTCATGCACCATGAGACGCTGTCATGCACCATGAGACGCTGTCATGCACCATGAGACGCTGTCATGCACCATGAGACGCTGTCATGCACCATGAGACGCTGTCATGCCGGAGTGTGGTAGAGTGGAAGTTCAACACACAACACCGCCCAGCAGCACCCCCCCAGCAGCGACCCCCAGCAACGCCCCCCCAGCAACTCCGCCCCAGCAACACCCCCCCAGCAACACCCCCCCAGCAGCACCCCCCAGCAACACCCCCTCAGCAGCACCCCCCCAGCAGCACCCCCCCAGCAGCGCTGCTCACCAGGCTGGCGCTCATCCTGTTGTACTCGCAGCTGCTCACGTTCTTCGCCACCACATACATCGCACTCTCCTCCCATTCCTCCTCCTCCTCCTCGTCACACTCTTCCGATTGCTGAAACGCCCTCTTTCTCCCCAATTCCACCCCCCCAGCTCCACCCCTCTCTTCTTCCTCCTCGTCCGCCTCCACTTCGTCCTCTCCCTTTCCCCCTTCCTTCTCTTCTTCCTCCTCCTCTTCCTCCCCCTCGTCCTCTCCCCATCTTGTCCCCTGCACCCCGCCCTGCCCCACGCACAGGGGGCAGTACCAGTTGCCGGTGGGCACGCGGGGCAGCGGCGGGTGCAGGCAGTACACGTGGAACTCGCGGTCGCACGCATCGCACAGCAGCACCAGCCCCTCGTCCACGTCCACGCCGCACACCGCGCACCCCTCCTTCTCCCACGGGGGCACGCAAACGCTGCCCCCCTCCCCCTGCCCCTCCCCCCTCCCTGCTCCCCCCAGCCTGTCTTCCCCAGGGGTTGGGGGGTGCGGGGGCAGCATTGGAGCGGAGGAGAACAGGCCCTGATGGGGGGGAGGGGAGGATTGGGAGGCGCGGAGGAGGGGGCGGGAGGGGAGGGCAGTGAATGATGGAGTGCGGGGAGGAGATAATCGCGCCGAGCCTGGAGGAGAGGAGTGAGGTGCGGGTGATGGGGGAAACACGAGAAGGAAGTGAACAAGGGAGGGCAGGGAGGAAGGAGTGGCAGTCGAAGATGTGAATGAAACAACCAACGAATGCGAGAGGAGGCACGGCAGGCGAGGGGACGGGCACAACCAGGATAAACAGCTGGCCATTCCCCGTGAGAACAATCCCACATGGCATGTGATGCGAGCTTTGATGCCCACCTTGGAGGCGACGAGCTTGTCGAAGAGCGGCGCGAGGTGCAGCATGGAGAGGAAGATGGGGTGCGGCTTGCGGTAGCTCAGGCGCACGTTCACCCAGATCTGAGGGCGGGCAGGGGGGACGCCACGCCATGGACCAGGGCAGAAGGGGTTGGGAGGGGAAGATGGAAAAAGAGGTGGCAGCAGAAGCGGAGTGGAGGGGAGGGGATGGGAGTGATTGAGGGGGAGAGGCATTCCCGCACGTGCAGGTTGCTCCAACACAGGACACACGCGCAGGTTGCTCCAACACGCACAATCTGCAGGTCAACGGGCATGGGCCCACGGATTGCAGTGGTAAAAGCAGCACGCTCACTACAGAGTGCACGTTAGCCCGGTGACGCATGGCAACTCGAATGAATTAAGTGACGCACTGTATGCATCCTGCCATCAGCCCGCTGTTGATGCCCAGCACCCTGCAGCTGCTGCACTGACGCTGCCACCCATGGGTGGTGGCAGCAGCCATGCCTCTCACCCCCTCTGCGCCCAGCCATCACAGCAAGAAGAAGCTGTTAGAATATTCCCCTATTCTATATTAGCCTACATCGTTTATAAGGCTTAGGTCATTGTAAGCAACCTATCTCTACTAGGGTGTAGTAACCCTAGGTTGGGGGTTGGCTTCCCACCTTGTTTGGGTTCCAACCTTGGCCATTATTGGCCCCCCCAATGGGATTGACCTCCCAATTATTGGAGACCCCAATAATCCTACCAAGATTATTGGACCCTCCAATAATCTTGGTTGGGATTATTGGACCCCCCAATAATTCCCAACTCCATTATTGGTGGGGACCAATAATCTTGGCCAAGGTCCCAACCAACCCCCCCCTTCTTACCCTCACACCTATGTATACCCTCCTTTCTTCAATAACATCATCAACTTCTCTTCTCACATGGTATTCAGAACCTATGGCTCACGCCACCTCCTAGAACGATCCTGAAAGCGTGTTCCTTCCCACGCCCTCCCTCCGCGCACTCTGCGCCTTGCTCCCGCCCATTCCGCGCTGCCCCCCCCCTAGCGCACCCCGTGCCCTCTCCGCGCGCATTTCCGCGCCGCTGCCGCATTTCGCGGCTCTCCCGTCGTCGCTCGTCGCGACCGTTCATCTCCGCACTTCGCGGCTCTCCTGTCGCCGCCCGTTGCGACCGTTTGTCGCCGCATTTCGCGGCTCTCCCGTTGTCGCTCGTCGCGACCGTTCGTTGCTGCATTTCCCGGCTCTCCCGTCGCTGCATTTCCCGGCTCTCCCGTCGCTGCATTTCCCGGCTCTCCCGTCGCTGCATTCCCCTTCTTACCCTCACACCTATGTATACCCTCCTTTCTTCAATAACATCATCAACTTCTCTTCTCACAGAAGCAGCTGAAGAGCCACTGCCCACGGCCCACCTGCTTGACGTCAGCAATGAAGCCTTCTGCCGAGTCCCCATAGGCGCCCATCACCACGCGCGCATCGATGGTCCTCAGGTCCATGGGCCGCGCCACTGCATGCCGCGGCGCCCACCCCGTTCTGCGTGTGTCCCCCACCGCGCCTCCTGCTGCCAGCACTGCCATTCCCGCGCCCTCGCCTGCGCTCATTGCACCTGCCAGGGGCGCCGCTGCACCCACAGGTGCATGCTGCGACCGTGGCGGCCCCTTCCCCACCACCCCTTTCACGCCCCTTCCAGCCGCCACCTCGCTGCCCATGTGGCCCGCATCGCCACCCAACCTCCCTCTTCCCTCACCTGCCCCTCCAGCCCCTCCTGCCCCTCCTGCACCTGCGCCTGCTGCATCATCTGCACCCTTACCCCCCACACAGGCGCCCTCCCCCGCCCCGTGGGCGTCCCCCGTGGGCCCCACCCCCCAGAAATAGGTGAAGGCATGCAGCTGGTCGGCGCGCGCCAGCTGCCACAGCACCACGCGGCACTGCTGCATCAGCCGCGACAGGGGCGGCCCCGCCGCCGCTGCCCTCGCTGCGCGCCCACGGCCTCGTGCTGTGCCCGACAGCGTGGCAGCAGCAGCGCCATCGGCAGCAGGAGATTGAGCGGCGCGCTGCCGTCCAGCTGTGTGCGGGTCCTCATGCGCTCCAACGCCCCCACCACCGCCATCCTCTGCCCCCCCTCTCCCTGCAGCCCTCCCACCATCCCTGGGCTTCACCGCGCCCTTGGTGCCACCAGCACCGTCGTCACTCCTCTCAGCAGCCGCCTCCCTCTTCACCTTTGGGGCGGACGCCACAGCCCCGACGGCAGGAGCAGGGGGGGCGGCAGCAGAGGCAGGCGCAGAGGGCTGGTGCGCGAGGAACCTGTCCATAACCTCGATGGCCGCGCGCTGCATGGGGGGGGCACGTGCACGGCACGAGACAGCGAGAAAAGAATTGCGTGGTCGACCGAAAGTGGGTGATGCTATGTGGATGGAGAAGCACATGATGGTCGGAAAGAAAGAGTTATCTTCACTGGACTGGACATCACAGGATGAGGACTCATCTCAAACTGCTGCCAAATTCCAATGAAAAGAGCAATGCGAGTTGTTAGTGCAAGGTTTCTGGTATGTAGACAGGCACGCGTTTCAATTCATGCAACGAGAACAAACCAATGCAAAGGCGGTGTATGTACGGGCATCACTCCGAGCTACAACTGCTCTTTGGAAGGGTCATCTCAATAGGAGCGACAGAACAAAGTGTTGGATTGTAGCCTGCTATTCTAGAGTCACCCTGGATTCGACCACCCTCGTGAGTGATTTGTTCACCCCTCGTAAGTTTGGTGCACATACAGAACGGAGGGTGGTTGTCCACCCACCTTGTTCTCATACTTCCCTTATACCGACTGGCCGATTCTTGGCCGATTCTGTGGGCTTTAACTCACCTTGGTGGGGCCTGACGCACCTTCGTAGGGCCTGACGCACCTTAGTAGGGCCTGACGCACCTTAGTAGGGCCTGACGCACCTTAGTAGGGCCTGATGCACCTTAGTAGGGCCTGACGCACCTTAGTAGGGCCTGAGGCACCTTAGTCGGGCCTGACGCACCTTAGTAGGGCCTGACGCACCTTAGTAGGGCCTGACGCACCTTAGTAGGGCCTGACGCACCTTAGTAGGGCCTGACGCACCTTAGTAGGGCCTGACGCACCTTAGTAGGGCCTGACGCACCTTAGTAGGGCCTGACGCACCTTAGTAGGGCCTGACGCACCTTAGTAGGGCCTGACGCACCTTAGTAGGGCCTGACGCACCTTAGTAGGGCCTGATGCACCTTAGTCGGGCCTGACGCACCTTAGTAGGGCCTGACGCACCTTAGTAGGGCCTGACGCACCTTAGTAGGGCCTGACGCACCTTAGTAGGGCCTGACGCACCTTAGTAGGGCCTGACGCACCTTAGTAGGGCCTGACGCACCTTAGTAGGGCCTGATGCACCTTAGTAGGGCCTGACGCACCTTAGTAGGGCCTGATGCACCTTAGTCGGGCCTGACGCACCTTAGTAGGGCCTGACGCACCTTAGTAGGGCCTGACGCACCTTAGTAGGGCCTGATGCACCTTAGTAGGGCCTGACGCACCTTAGTAGGGCCTGACGCACCTTAGTAGGGCCTGACGCGTTGCCCTTGTACACCTCCTTGCTGATGGCCCACTGCAGCCGCTCCACCGCCCAATCAGGCGGCGCCACGTGGCAGTCCAGGGCAGCGCGGATGCAGTTGCGGATGCGCGCGCCGACGTTGGTCTGCATCTTGCGGATGGGCTCCAGCAGCACCACCCACTGGGGGGCGCACGCCGCCGCTGGGGGGGGCACGAGGGGCGAGCGCATGGACGAGGGGCGAGCACAACATTGCTGTTGAGGCGTCTGGATTTCGAATGCAAGCACGGGCACTGGCATGAATGGTGTGGCCTGGCATGAATGTTGTGGCCTGGCATGAATGTTGTGGCCTGGCATGAATGTTGTGGCCTGGCATGAATGTTGTGGCCTGGCATGAATGTTGTGGCCTGGCATGAATGTTGTGGCCTGGCATGAATGTTGTGGCCTGGCATGAATGTTGTGGCCTGGCATGAATGTTGTGGCCTGGCATGAATGTTGTGGCCTGGCATGAATGTTGTGGCCTGGCATGAATGTTGTGGCCTGGCATGAATGTTGTGGCCTGGCATGAATGTTGTGGCCTGGCACTAGGAGGCATAGCACGTGCGGAGGGAAAGAGAAGAGTGGCAAGCAGAGTTAGTCATGTGGAAGAGCGGGCGCCGAGCGCATTGACCCACTCCTTTGCGGGGCGACGCGCCATGCACGGGACACAGCAAGGGCCACAAGCATACATCCCATGCATCAGGCAGCACGGCCATCCTCTCACCACCTGCTGCGCCTCCTGCACTTGGATGCACCACGGAAACAACGTCAGCAGCAGCCCCAGCAGCGGTGGCAGCTTCGGTTGTGGCCTCCTCGTTGAGCCCCGGCGTGCGGGGCATGGCGCCACCTGCACCGTGCCTCACACTGCTGCCATGCTCTTCACCCGCGCCTGCTGCTGCCGCCTCCCCCCCCTGCTCCTCACCCACTGGGCCTGCCGCTGCAGCGGCAGCACCACCCTTCCCTCCCTTGCCCTTGCCCGCCCCACTGCCCATCCCGCCTGCCCCCATGCCTCCAGCAGCGGCGGCGGCAGCAGCGAAGTGCGAGTGAGGCTGGGACGAGGCGACTAGGGCGAGATGCTTCTCCGCAGCAGCGAGGGCCTGCACGGCGCCACCAGGAAACAAGGGCACGGGCACGCATTCAGCTCACTCTCAGGTGCCATGTGTTCAAGCAACGCCATGCATGCACCCACAGCAGCGTCCTGCACTCACCGCAGCGTCGTGCATGGCCCCCGGGGTGCCCATCCAGTGCCCCATGAGCGGCCCTCCATCCCCCGCTATGCACCGAGTCAGCCGCCCCTGCTCCCACGGGCTCCGCCTCTGCGCCCCTCTGCCCCCTCTGTGCCCCCCACCACCCATCCCCCGCTGGCCCTGCCCCGCTGATCCCCCTCTGCCTCGCCTTCCGCCCTCCCCTCCGCTGCCCCCACCAATCGCCTCTCCCCCACGCACCCTGCCCCCCGTGTCCGCCACTCTCCTTCGCTTCCCCTCTCCCTGCTTCTCTCGCCTCCCTTCCCCCTCTTCCCCTCCGCCCGCCTCCCTCTCCCTCCTCTCTGCCTGCAACAGCGCAGCGTTAACAGCAAGCACCCTGCATGCCACCTCAGGCCACGTCAGCTCATCAATGGGACACATCAGCAAATCCGAGGTGGCATCACTGGCATTGGCCGCACTTGCACCCATGAGGGTGGCAGTGAGTGCAGCAGGGGCAGACGCAGGACAGCCGCCGCCTGCAGCAGCAGCAGCCCCACCACCGCCGCCTCCAGATCCACTGTCCCCAGCACCAGAAACCCTTGCAACAGTTTCTGGTACTTCCCTCTCCTTGCCTCCTCCCTCGCACTCCTTCCCCCTGCCGCCCCCCATGCCCTCCCTGGCCGCCACCGCGCCCATGGTGTCGCTCAACAGCACGTGCAGCAGCGCCACATGCACGTACGCCAGCAGCGGAGAGCCGCCGTGGAAGGCAGGCGGCTGTGAGGCGCGCGCACTCGCTGCCGCGGCGCCTGCATGCGCAGCCAGGGGAAGCGCTAGGGAATGGGAAGGGGGCGCGAGAGAGGAGTGGGTAGCGTGGTAGCTGGCAGGGCAGGCGAGGTGGTAGGCGAGGGCGGGCAAGGAGAGCGCGGGCAGCGCGGAGGCGATGGGGGCGGATGGGGGGACGAGGGGCGGGAAGGCGTGCAGGAAGTGATGCATCTGCAGCGCGGGGGGCGGTGGGGGGCAGGCGATGGCGGTGGAGAGGAGATGGAGAGGAGATGGAGAGGAGATGGAGAGGAGATGGAGAGGAGATGGAGAGGAGATGGAGAGGAGATGGAGAGGAGATGGAGAGGAGATGGAGAGGAGATGGAGAGGAGATGGAGAGGAGATGGAGAGGAGATGGAGAGGAGATGGAGAGGAGATGGAGAGGAGATGGAGAGGAGATGGAGAGGAGATGGAGAGGAGATGGAGAGGAGATGGAGAGGAGATGGAGAGGAGATGGAGAGGAGATGGAGAGGAGATGGAGAGGAGATGGAGAGGAGATGGAGAGGAGATGGAGAGGAGATGGAGAGGAGGAACACCGGCTGAAGGAAGGTGGAACCTGTGGTCGAACAACGGACCACTTGAGAAAGAACGAGAGTGGTTCGTGCAAGAGCAAGATGCAACGTGAAACAAGAAAACACCCATTGCCTTATGGCACCCCTCACTGCCCCATGGAAGCCCTCATTGCCGCATGGCACCCCCCATTACCCCATGGCCCCCATAACGCGCACCTCAATGAGTCGCAGCATGTCGCGCTGGGAGAGCGACGGCAGAGGCGCACAGGGTGCAGCAGTGGCAGGGCGAGGGAGAGACAGCGGCCACACGGCTCCTGCGGGGAGCTGAGGCGCCGGGCAGGCTGGCGCGCACACAGAGAATGGCTTTGGCGCAGCAGCTGATGCCCATACTGCTGCTGCTGCTGCTGCTGCTGCTCCTGCTAGGCCCTTTGTCATCAGCATCTCTCCACATGCCCCCTCTATCCGCTCGCCCCCCTCCATGCGCTTGCCCCCCTGCCCCCTGTCCAGCAGCACGCCATGGCAGCGCTCCTCCACTAACCTCCCCATCACTGCACTCACTGCGCCACTCCTTCCTTCCCACTGCACTCCCCCGCCCATCCGCGCATCGCCCATCCGCGCATCGCCCATCCGCGCATGGCCCCCTTCTTCCCCAGTGCCCTTCGCCTCGCTGGTTTCATTCGCACCACCTTCTCCCCCCCCCTGCTCCCTCTGCACTTGCCCCTTCCACCATCGCTCCTCCCTGAACTCGTACCCCTCGCACCGCTCTGCACCGCTCTGCCCTTCGATCAGCGCCGCCACATCCGGGTGCTTGAGCCCAAACTTGTCGGCCGCCAGCAGCGCTCTCACCCGCTCCACCTCCCGCTCCCCCTCCACGTCCCTGCCACCAGCAGCCACCCCCTCACATGCAATCCCCTCATCCTCCACCCCTCCTCCCTGCCTTCCCCTTCTCTCCTTGGACCCTCCCCCCCTCGTCCCACCCGCACTCCACCTCTCCTTCTCCATCCACAGCCGCCCCACCCGCACCCACCACTCCCTCCCAAACCTCTCCCAAGCCTCCTGGCAGGTTCGACCTTCACACACCATGTGCACCTCATCTTCGGGCTCACACAAGACTAACCGTGCGCTTTTGCTCGCCCCTCTCCCCTCTACCTCACCTCCTCTCACCATCTCGCCACGATCCCCTTCCTTCTCCCCCCCTTCTACCGCCCACCCATGCATGTCACCTAAACCCCCTGTGCCCCCTGCCGTCCACCCATGCATGTCACCTAAACCCCCTGTGCCCCCTGCCGTCCACCCATGCATGTCACCTAAACCCCCTGTGCCCCCTGCCGTCCACCCCCACCCGTCCACAGCCCCTGCCGCATCACCTGCCAGCAGCGCCCGCACCTCCTCCTCCATCTCGCCCTCCCCTCCCCCTCCCCCTCCCCCACTCCCACTTTCTACCCCCCACCGTTTCTCCCCCTTTCCCCCACCCCTTGCCTTTTCCGATTTCCCCATTCCCCCTTGCTCCTCTCTTCCCTCCTCCCTTCCCTCCTCCCTCCACACTCTAAAAATCGGTCCCCCTCTCTGACTCTCCCCTTCGACGACCCTTTCCCCGCCACTCCCCCCCTCTCCCCCCCTCCCCCCCTCCACCACCTCGCTATGGCACAGCCCCCCTAAAGGGTCCACCCACACTGCATGGTAGCCACGTGGCCAGATTTCATTGGCGGAATGGTACGCGGGGCTCGCGTCCACGTGGCCAGCGGACAATAACCGAACGGTGATCGTAAAGAGGGGTTCCGACGACAAGGGTTCGGTGCTGTCATCCGGAGATGGGCGGGACGATTTGTCTGGATGCGGAATGGTCAGGGCGAAGTCTCTGGGAAGAATCACCTGCGAACGTGCAAGTACCACGTCAGCACAGGAACTAGCGTATGGCGAACAGCGGTGCGCGTCTATGATTGGTCCTCACCTGTTCCGCTGCCCGTTTCGCCTCGACAGCCGCCACATGTCGTAGCTGTGCGAGCATGTCGCCGAGCGACGTGCGACGGTCCATTGGCGACAGAATGAGCGACCAGGGCGTGGCAAGGTCGAGGCAGGACTGTGCTCGTGCGATGCGCCACCCGCCGCTGACGGCTCCAGCTTTCTCGACTATCTGGGCACGCCGTGATTCCAAGGCGCTGCTATCCGCGCATGGGTCAATCTCTTGCGCCTTGAGGGCGCGTCCGAAGAGTCTGTCCGACGTAAAGTTTGTACAGGTCCAATACGGTGCCCCAAGGTTGACAGCAGTGAAGAAGAATCACCGTTTTCCAACGTGTTGCACCGTACAAAACCGGATTCTGGGTATGCGAGACGTACTCCTAGGACACGCCCTGAGCCATCACAGCTGTGGGGCTCGCATTCCATGCCACCCGGCTCAATTCGCTAACAAGCTGTGTTGACCAGAGCTCGTTTCTGGGGATACAAAATGGGCCCCGAATCTGAGTTATGCTCGATGTTGCCTCGTGCAGTCACCGTTTTGACCAATGGCGAGCCGAATGCTGGCAGCGTGCTCCACGTTACACCCTAAACCACGTTAACGTCACTCGTTTTGGGCAGGGCGGTTAGCATTTGTTTTTAGCGAAATGTGATGTTACGTCTTCGAAGGGGGCCGCCCGCTGTAGGTAATTTCTGAACCCAGAACGGCTTTCAGGGAGTACTCGAGAGCCCAGTGGTCTGATGCTTTGGAGAGGATTCAAGCAGTATTCAATAAATATTTCCACCACATTAGGGCAAAGTTAGACCGTGTGTCAGACAGTTGGTACAGGTATGCCGAGCTGACCCGGGGCACAGGTCGACCTAACGGCCACTAAGCGACCCCTGACGCCAGGAGCACTGAAAGTGTCGCCAGGCTGCACTAGCGAGGTAGCGTGTGATACAAGCGAATGCCATTGTGTACAATCATAATGAGCGCTATGATTCGTGTTTCAGGGAAGTTGCCTTTTTTGTGGTGTCGCCCGGTGCACGTCGATCCGTATCTGCAAATCACGCCACACTTTGCGCTTGTCTGTTTTGGCTCGCATGATTTCGTGCGGCTTGCTAGGGAGATTTGTTTACATTTCAGCAGTCGCAGACCAAGGTCATGAGGAATGCTTACTGGCCCGGCTTGTTTCGAGGCAGTTGGACTGTGAATACATGCGACGCTGAAATTTACGTATAGACGCGATGTTTACCGGTTTCTGAGAGCGGGAAATGTTGGCGCGTGCTTCGAACTACCCTGACACCAGGGCAGTATGTGCCTCCAGGTGTCAAGTAGGGCTGTACCGACCGCCTGACACGCGGTCTAACTTTGCCTTTAGACCCGGTAAAACTGATAGGCTGGTGTTGGCACGTGTTTCCATCCTTTCGCTCTCTACTAAAATCGCATGTTTGGAAATTTTAAGGCATTAGAAAATTAACGGAAACTACCCATTTCGTCCATTGATGTATCGAATAGAAGTCCCATTGGGTAAAGGGTACTCATAAATGGCCTCGGAGCAATGAGATCAGAGGCCGATCTTGGCAGTGACGGTGAGGGCGGCCGTAATGTTTCGTGATTTGACGTTAACGAGGTTTAGGGTGTATGGAGTGTCGAACCACGAACGAACGAGATCTCACCAGGAACTCACAACTTGTCAATCGCTGAAACCTTGGCATTGGGCGGGCGCCATTTGGCACAATGTGCCTCGCTCAATCCACGAGCTCAATTGGCGAAATTGTGCCCCGAGTCCACAGCCTTGCGCTTGTGTCACGGAGGGTAGTGTCGCAAACCAAGTGAGTTCCGCAACCAACCACAACATAGGAATGACCTCCACAAATTTCAACAGCAACAACAACAAAAACGGGGAAACATGTGTCAGGAGCCAGTTTTTTGTGTGTTGCAGAGCAACCCATTGCGATCGATTTTGCTGATTTTTTTGGTTGCGTAGCAACCCTATAAAATCGGTTTCACATTTAGGAGCATTGATACGAACAGTAAAATTTTTAAGAATTTAGTTAACAGTTCGGTGCAACTCCAAAATATGAATCCAAATGTCCAAAGTGCTCCATCGCGTCGATAAGTACGGCGGATGGAACAATCAGACCGCATGACACATTTCAACAAAATTTTATGTATAATTAAACTTCCTGTAGGAGTGCAAATGCCAAGAAACGAGTGCATGTAGGCATTAGTAGTGTTGTAGTAGAGATTGATGGGGTGCACGATGACAGCAGAGCTGCCCCGGACACGATGACAATCTCTAATTGCAACACCTAGCCTATAAGCAGCACGCTCGAGGCAAACACAATCCAAATACACCTCGTGCCAGCCACCCCATCTCGTCGATAAATACGGTGGATGGAATGAGCATGTATGTACGATAGGATTGAGAGTGCTACGAAACGATTGCATATATGCATCAATGCTGCAACAGAGATTGATGGGGTGCGCGATGACAACAGAGTTGCCCCAGGCACGATGACAACCTCTAATTGCAACACCTTGCATATAAGCAACACGTCCGAAGCAGACATAATCCACACCTTATCACATTTGCAGCCACACGCACTATGCACATAGAGACTAAGAGCAGCAGACACACCCCGAAACAGACAGTATTTATCAAACCCATGCACACCCCTCTCATGCAAACAACAATCAAGCAGACACATGCAGCATCGCAAATAGCCTAGTAGTTGGAGTCCCCTATATCCAAATTAAAGAACAGTGATAACGTCGTGCAATCACAAATTTGTCCTCGCATGATGTTCCAACAAGCAATAGAAATTGGTGTTGGAAGATGTTCTTTGTCTTGCGGCTGGAACAGACAGCGCGTGCTACACGACCTGCACAGTACACCAGTGAATAATAGAAACACAATATACGTTCAAAAGTGGACCACATAATTTGTTTATTGGTTTATATGCATTCATGGTGTTAGATCTTGCGTTTGGGGTTTAGGGTTTAGTGCGGAAGTACTACATGGGATGGAAGGGAGGAAGAGAATAACAAAAGGGGAGGGAGAAAAAAGGCAGTAAGAAGAAAATTATAGACTGAAATTGCGGGGACGCTAGCGATGACCTATGTGGTACCTAGGAATGAATGAAGGGATGGAAAGAGGAGCAGGGGAGGTTAAAAGGAGGGGGACACGCAAAAAAGGAATATGTGGCATGAGCAAAATGCCATAGCAGACGCCGCCAGCACGCACGTCACCAGCACAGACCAGGCCAGCGCGCGCAGCGCCAGCTCGCACAGCATGGCATGCTATGCCCATACATGCATACAGCCAAGCACGTTATGCACATACACGCATACAACTAGGCATGCTATGCCCATACACACATACAGGTGTTATAGTCACAATAGGCTCAGATGTGCCTATAATGAGAGATAGAGAGCACAGTCGGATTTCCGTCAGACGCCTTCAAATATTGATAACGATCTGGTGGCTGAGTCAAACTGTGATCTGTAAGTTGGATCTTGAGCGCGTTGCTGTCGTCTATCAGCAGCAAGTTGAATCATGAAATTCCATGAAGATTTGACGACGCTATGGCGGTTTGACTGGCAGAAGGTATAGCAGCCACTATAGTCTTGGAAGTACAAACTTAGCAAGAAGAGTTTGAGAGGGAGATGGTTCCCAGCCTCTACATACCCCAAGAGCCGAGGTCCAGGTTGGTGGTACACCACCACAGAGTCCCCAACCATGAAGAGTCTCGAAACCAACCCTCCAAGGGGCTACACCAAGTGAAATGTAACACTACACGAAGTAGCGTTAGTATTTTCACTATTTAATATTTATCTGTGTCCCTTGGGCTTGAAACCTTGAGCTCTTGGTCTTGGTTCTGCAAGATAAATTCTTCTTGAGTTGATCGGGGCTTGCTGCACACACCTGCGACACGATGGACACTTCACACTCGACAAAATAGAAAAAACAAATGCAATATGCAAACGACGACTTGACATGCGAGTTGTAAAAACTCGCTAATGTCTTGACCGACACAAACCACATTGTGATACACCATTCAAACACACACACAAGCACTGGATAGCAATGAAATAGACTCACAATTCATTCCATGCCATGCATGCACACACACAAACAAGGACGACAAGCCGAGTGCAAGCCATAGGGTTGCACCAACAAACTCCCCCTCGGATTGTTGGCCTTAGAATCTGCTCCCCTTAGTTCAGAGCCATCTCAGCAAGCTTGCAACACTTCCAATGCTGCTGCTCAACCAGCCTCTTGGTCATCATATCAGCAGGCTGCGCCGTCGTCTTCACGTAGTGCAACTCCACTTCACCCGCGGTTACCATGCTCCTCACCCAATGCCACTTCACCTTCATGTGCTTGGTAAGGCCGTGAAGAACGGGGTTCTTAGCCAATGCAATAGCACCTTGGCTATCACAGTAGAGTGGGGTAGGTCCTTGGTGCTCCTCCCCCAATTCAGCTAGCAAACGCCGCTGCCACACAACCTCTCTTATGGCACGGAAGAGTGCCATGTACTCGGACTCCACCGAGCTCAATGCTTGGTCCACTTGTTTCTTGCTCTCCCAAGCTGTTAACCCTCCACCAACACAGCAGATGAAGCCTCCCACATTTGTCATGTCCTCTGGTTCTGATGCCCAAGATGCATCAGAGAAGGCGGTGAGAAAGAGCCTCCCGGGTTCGACTCCATCCGCACCCTTTTGACGCCTTTGTGCCGCCGCGGAGTATTGCAGTCCAACAGTTGCTGTTTGGCCAAGGTACTTGGCCACCCTCTCTCCAGCTGCTACCTGCTCCTCATTAGGGCATTGGACAACCCTAGCCAGCTGCCCGGTAGCAAAGGCTGCATCCGGCCTTGTGTGAACGGCCGCATACATGAGGCTGCCCACCAAGGAGTGAAAACGGCGCCTCTCCTCTTCACCAACACTTTCCTCCACTGGTCCTTTCACACACTTGAATCCTGAGGAAAGAGGAGTAGCCACATGACCTTCACTCTTCCCAAAGTTTGCAGCCAAGGCCTTTTGATGCACTCGCATCCACCGCTTCTCCACATCTCGCTCAATGTGAAGCTCAAGGTAGTAGTTGACGTCACCAAGGGTCTTGCACTTGAACTTGTCTTGAAGCTTCAGCATCACCTCCTTCACAAGGTTAGAGGAGGGTGAGAATATGAGGATGTCATCCACATAAACCACCATGAAGCTCCTCTGCTCCCCCTCGCCAAGCATGAACAAGGATTGATCGGCCGTTGAGGGAGTGAAGCCGATCGCCTCCAAGACTTCCCGCAGCTTGATGTACCATTGCCTAGGGGCTTGCTTGAGGCCATAGAGTGCTTTCTTCAGCTTCCACACTTTGCCACTCCCATCATTGTACCCCTCTGGCTGCTCCATGTAGGTCTCTTCCTCCAAAACGCCATTGAGGAAGGCCGTTACAATGTCCATTTGCTTCACCACCCATCCTTTGATGGCTGCCGCGGCGAAGAGAGTTCGAAGGGTTGTACCCTTCATCACAGGAGCATACACTTCATTATAGTACTTCTTCTCCTGCTGCTGGTACCCCTTGGCTACAAGTCTGCTCTTGTAGCGCTCAATGTTGCCGTCGGCGTCGGTCTTGCGTTTGAAGAGCCACTTGGAAGAGATCGCCTTACGCCCCGGAGGTAGGTTCACCAAGTCAAACGTGTCGTTCTCGATGATGCTCCCCATTTCTTCATCTGAGGCCTTCTTCCACTCCTTCCCATTGGGGCCCTCCCAAGCCTCCTTGGGATTTGTAGGCTCCCCCGGTATCTCCACCGGAGAGAAGAAGGCAAAAGCGCACTCCTCGCTTTCATCTTCCGCATCATCACCTAGCATGAGAGCCGAACCGGTCAAGGTTGAGTTGGCTGGTCCTCCAAGCCGTTCATAGCTCAACCTATTGGGGGGCTGAGTCCTCCTTCTCCCCCTTCCTTCCTCCTCTGCTGCAGGGACTTGGATGCTCTCGTGGCGTTGCTGCAAATCTGGTCGGTTCCCGCGAGCACTTGTAGCACGAGGCGGAAGTGACGGTGCACGCTCATCACCTTGCTGCACCTCCTCCTCCTCTTCTCCCCCATTCATTTGATGAGATTGCCTTGTGATAGTGCTGCTGCTACTCAGCTCCAAGGGCAGCTCCACATGCTCCAAGCCGGTACTCTTCACCTCTCCAAGCCGCACACCAATCTTCGCTTGGTTCTCCGCCTTCCACTCCTTGTACGGTAAGTTCTCCATGAACTTGCAATCTCTGCTCACCAGGAACTTCTTGGTAAATGGGTCCCATAGAAGCCATCGCTTGCTGTTTTGGGCCATGCCCAGGTGCACGGCCCGTGTTGCCTTGGCATCAAGCTTGTTGTGCCGAAGTTTCTTAGGCACAAGTGCCATGCACATGCACCCGAACACCCGAAGCATATCCACCTTCGGCTTCCTTCCAATCCACTCCACATAGGGCACCCATTTGTCTTCTCCCACATGAGTCAAGGCTCTGTTCTTGGCCACACAAGCATGCCGCACCGCATCCGGCCAAAAGTAATTGGGTAGACCGGCTTCAATGAGAAGTCCCCGAGCCGTCTCCGTGAGTGTCCGATTCGCACGCTCGGCGATGCCGTTCATTGCAGGAGAGTAGGGCATGGTAAGAGAGTGCCTTATGCCCTGATTCTTCAGCCAAGTTGAGAAATCCTTGCTCAGGAACTCTCCCCCACGGTCAGTGCGAATCGCCTTCACAAGTCGGTCTTGTTGCCGCTCCACCATCGGCAACCAATCGGTCTTCACCGTTTCAGCTACGTCACTCTTCTTGGGCAGTACATACACCCAAGTCATGCGAGTGTAGACGTCCACAATGGTGAGGAAGTACTCTGCTCCAGCAGCTCCAAGCTTCAAGGGGCCCACCACATCCATCACCACCTCATCAAGTGGTGCCTTCGCCGTTGTCTCCGAGCTATGGAACGGGTAGCGGGTGAACTTGGCTTGCATGCATGTTGGACAGCCAAGCACCTCATTGGGCTCCCCCTTGACACGTATCCCACTGACCATCTCTTGCTTAACAATCTGCTGCAAAATGGGCAATGCCACATGCCCCATTCGCCGATGCAAGGTCAGCCAATCACACTCTCCCGTAGCGGAAGTCGGGTTGGAGAAAGCGGCACTCGCAATCGTGCCCCACAAGCTCTCTCCTTTCTCTTTCGCCGCTGTTGCTTTGTTGATCTTAGCCTTCTCCTCCTCATTTCCACCACCTTTGGCTGCTGCACCATTCTCCTTGGGTTCACACGCCTTGCTGGTCTCTCCAAGGTTGCACTCCTTCGAGTCACTCTTGGTGTCACTTTGCTTTCCGTGATCACCGCCACCAACCGCTTCACGCTTGGTGTTAGACGCTTGCTGCCACTTGCCTCTCTTTAGGCATGGGGACCACTGGGATTTGCCACATCTCATTGTAGATGTCTCTGTCCTCATGAATGTCCCAAAGCTTCCGCTCACCAAGCCTTGCGGCATAGGTTTTGGATCCCTTGGAAGATGTGTCCATGCCGGCCTTTTGCAAACGCCGAACGGAAATCACGTTGGCTGCTAGGTTGGGCACCAAAAGCACGCTCTTGAGGCCCACCATCTTCCCATCAGCACCCTTGAACATGGCCTTGCCCATGCCCTTCACCTCTGCTCGCTGCCCCAAAGCCGATGTAACGTGCTTGACCAGCGACGGTTCGAGTTCGGTGAGCAAGTCCGCACGAGGTGTCATGCTGTATGTGGCGCCGCTATCGATCACCCAAAAGTCTAGAGAGTGAAGGGTGACCTTTCCCACAGTAGCTGGCTCCTCAAAGCCTTCCACACCTCCTGCTGTAGCTGCCGCTTGCATGGAGACAAAGAAGAATTGGCCCGGGTATCGATCTTCACTCAAGTCCTTGTCGTAGTCTCCACCTTTCATGCTTGCCGCTTCGCTTCCACGACCACCACGGCCTCCACGACCTCTGCCTCTTCCTCCCCTTGCTCCTCTGCCCTCTTGGCCTTGAGAAGGGGTCCATCCATCAGGCAATCTGAAGCAATCTCTCCACATGTGGCCGGTCTTGTGACAAAAGTGGCATTCGCCATCAAATCGACCGCGCCCACGCCCGTAGCCATTGTTGTTGTTGTTGTTGCTGCCATATCCTCCACTACCACGGCATCCATTAAAGTTACTGCTGCCAAATCTTCCTCCTCGCCCTCTGCCCCTTCCACGGCCGTGCCCACGGCCCATGCCTGCAACTCCGGCACCATCGGGACCCGCCAATTCGCGTTGGCGGAAATCTTCTTGTAAGATTTCCCGCTTCACATCTTCGAGTGAGAGACGGGGCAGATCTCGATTAAGGTTGATGATGAGCGAGGACCATGAGTCCGGAAGTAAGGCCAGCAGCTTGGTCTTCTTTTGAAGGTCACTGTAGTTCAGGTCAGCTCCTTTGAGCCGTGTCAACAAGTCGAAGAATTTCTGCACTCCTTCCTCCACCGGGTTCGCCTTCGTCAATTCGAAGTGCCGCCATTTTCCCCTCCAAAACCACAGCCACCGACGCTGTTGCAGGAGCGTGTACACCCTTGAGAGCAGCCCATGCCTTTGGTCCCTAAGCTGGTTCACGCTGAAAAGGCTTGATGTGACGGATTTGGCTGCTCCCCAACGCTTGCCCAAGTAGAAGGTAGCCTTGTGCGCTCTTCCGCACCCACGGGCTCTTCTCCGGGTCGTTCTCGGGGCGCTTCTCCGTTCCTTCCATCACCTCCAGCAGATCATAGTGGTCAAAGATGTTCTCCATCTTGAAGGACCACTCAGCAAAGTTGTCACCGTTGAACTTGTCAAGGCCAAACACTCTAGGCTCATCCCTAGAGGGTCCAAGGCTAGGTTGCACCGGAGCAACGGGTGGATCTTGGTGTTGACCTTGTGCTTGGGCGTCTTCTCTGCCTCCAGCACCTCTGCCAGCCCCTTCCTCAGGTCTAGGCATGGTCGAGACGGCTCCAAGGGGCTCTAATACCACTTGTTATAATCACAATAGGCTCAGATGTGCCTATAATGAGAGATAGAGAGCAAAGTCGGATTTCCGGCAGACGGCTTCAAATATTGATAACGATCTGATGGCTGAGTCAAACTGTGATTTGTAAGTTGGATCTGGAGCGCGTTGCTGTCGTCTATCAGCAGCAAGTTGAATCATGAAATTCCATGAAGATTTGACGACGCTATGGCGGTTTGACTGGCAGGAGGTATAGCAGCCACTATAGTATTGAAAGTACAAACTTAGCAAGTAGAGTTTGAGAGGGAGATGGTTCCCAGCCTCTACATATCCCAAGAGCCGAGGTCCAGGTTGGTGGTACACCACCACAGAGTCCCCAACCATGAAGAGTCTCGAAACCAACCCTCCAACGGGCTACACCAATTGAAATGTAACACTACACGAAGTAACGTTACTATTTTCACTATTTAATATTTATCCGCGTCCCTTGGGCTTGAAATCTTGAGCTCTTGTTCTTGGATCTGCAAGATAAATTCTTCTTGAGTTGATTGGGGCTTGCTGCACACACCTGCGACACGATGGACACTTCACATTCGACAAAATAGAAAAAACACATGCGATACGCAAACGACGACTTGACATGCGAGTTGTAAAAACTCGCTAATGTCTTGACCGACACGAACCACATTGTGATACACCATTCAAACACACAAACAAGCACTGGATAGCAATGACATAGACTCACAATTCATTCCATCCCATGCATGCACACACACAAACAAGGACGACAAGCCGAGTGCAAGCCATAGGGTTGCACCAACAACAGCCAGACATTCTATGCCCATACATGCATACAGCCATGCATGCTATGCCCATACATGCATATAATACAACTAGGTATGCTATGCCCATACACACACACAGACAAGCATGCTATGCCCATACACACATACAGGTAGGCATGCCATCCCCATACACACATACAGCTACGCATACCATGCCCATACACACACGCAGCCAGGAATGCTATGCCCATATACACATACAGTCAGGCATGCCATCCCCATATACACACACAGCCAGGCACGTTATGCACATACACGCACACAACTAGGCATGCTATGCCAAAACACACATACAGCCAAGCATGCTATGCCCATACATGCATACAGCCATGCATGTTATGCCCATACATGCATACAACTAGGTATGCTATGCCCATACACACATACAGCGTGGCATGCTATGCCCATACATGCATACAGCTAGGCATGCCATCCCCATACACACATACAGCCAGGCATACCATGCCCATACACACACACAGACAGGCATCCTATGCCCATATACACATACAGCCTGGCATGCTATGCCCATACATGCATACAGCCAGGCACGTTATGCACATACACGCATACAACTAGGCATGTTATGCCCATACACACATACAGTCAGGCATGCTATGCCCTTACATGCATACAGCCATGCATGCTATGCCCATACATGCATACAATACAACTAGGTATGCTATGCCCATACACACACACAGCCAGGCATGCTATGCCCGTATACACATACAGCCAGGCATGCTATGCCCATACACACATACAGCATGGCATGCTATGCCCATACATGCATACAGCCAGGCACGTTATGCACATACACGCATACAACTAGGCATGCTATGCCCATACACACCTGCATCCAGGGATGCTATGCCCATACATGCATACAGCCATGCATGCTATGCCCATACATGCATACAACTAGGTATGCTATGCCCATACACACATACAGCTAGGCATGCTATGCCCATACACACATACAGCCTGGCATGCTATGCCCATACACACATACAGCTAGGCATGCTATGCCCATACATGCGTACAGCCAGGCACGTTATGCACATACACGCATACAACTAGGCATGCTATGCCCATACACACATACAGCCAGGCATGCTATGCCCATACACACATACAGCTAGGCATGCCATCCCCATACACGCATACAGCCAGGCACGTTATGCACATACATGCATACAACTAGGCATGCTATGCCCATACACACATACGGCCTGGCATGCTATCCCCGTACACACATACAGCTAGGCATGCCATGCCCATACACACACACAGCCAGGCATGCTATGCCCATATACACATACAGTCAGGCATGCCATGCCCATACACACACACAGCCAGGCATGCCATGCCCATACACACATACAGCCAGGCATGCCATGCCCATACACACATACAGCCAAGCATGCCATGCCCATACATGCATACAGCCAGGCACGTTATGCACATACACGCATACAACTAGGCATGCTATGTCCATACACACATACAGCCAGGCATGCTATGCCCATACACACATACAGCTAGGCATGCCATCCCCATACACGCATACAGCCAGGCACGTTATGCACATACATGCATACAACTAGGCATGCTATGCCCATAGACACATACAGCCTGGCATGCTATCCCCATACACACATACAGCTAGGCATGCCATGCCCATACACACACACAGCCAGGCATGCTCTGCCCATATACTCATACAGTCAGGCATGCCATGCCCATACACACACACAGCCAGGCATGCCATGCCCATACACACATACAGCCTGGCATGCTATGCCCATACATGCATACAGCCAGGCACGTTATGCACATACACGCATACAACTAGGCATGCTATGCCCATACACACATACAGCCAAGCATGCCATGCCCATACATGCATACAGCCATGCATGCTATGCCCATACATGCATACAACTAGGTATGCTATGCCCATACACACATACAGCTAGGCATGCTATGTCCATACACACACACAGCCAGGCACGCTATGCCCATATACACATACAGCCAGGCATGCTATGCCCATACACACATACAGCCTAGCATGCTATGCCCATACACACATACAGCCTGG